ACTCAAAGGGGAAACAGATAAAGAAAACAAATAAATTAGGACTAAATATACTGAGCTAAAAGTACCCATGGAGCAGCTAGTGGACATGTCTTTTAAGCATTTACATATATTGGAGTGAAACTTCAGAGATGCAGGCTGGGGCAGAGGCATGATGGTAAATGTAGCAACCAATTCTCTGAAAGAAGAACAAAAGCCCTGATTCTTAGTGTTGGCCTACTTTCTTGGTGTAATGTCCTCCTGCTATGGCCAATTTCAAGCTACCAATGTGATGTCATTGAGTATAGTACTGGGAAGGGAATGTACTGTTGGATCTCATGTATACTACTGGCTGCAGGTCAAGTTTTCAGACTGTCTAGCATGGGAACAAATTGAGAATGTGGGAGTAGATCAAATCACATGCACTCCCTCATTCGCCTCCTAGACTAGGGTCCCTCTAGAAATGATGTCATCAGTTCTGAGCTCTATTATTTTGGACCTGATTACAGGTTAGATTCTGATTCATTTCCTATGATGTATTTTATCTCCTTATACTTGATGTTTGGTTCTTCCTATGTCAGAAAAGCAGTTTTGTAGGGCTCTTCATGTCTCCATGGTCTTGCATTCCAGTAGGTACTTAAAAGTGTTTGTTGAGTGGACAAAGGATATACCCATCTCAGAGGAACAGTCACAGATGGCTTCATCTTTTTTCTTTCTTAAAATACAGGGGCTGCTGAACTGGATCCCTGAAATGGAGTGGCAGCTGCTCGGTGAAGCAGCATGATCATTATGAAGCAGAAAATGGGGAATTCACTCTCTCTAAAGTCCACAGTGGGAGATAAGGAGTCAAGGTCCCACTGGCTTGCCAAGGCCCAGCAAAGCCTCCCTGCTAGAGAGCTGTGCCCTGTGAGTCAGACTGCCATTTCTTTCTTCTCCCCAATCACCCATAATCGGACACCACATTCACTGAACGAGGTACATCTAGCGATGTCTGCAAGTTAGAGACATCTACGCTAGGACATTACAGACTTTTACTCTGCCCTTTTCTAAATTAACTGGAAGATGTGCCCAAGACTGCCTACTGGTAGACATCTTCATAATGGTTAGACAGCCTGCCAAGAGGAAAGCATCTTTGAAAAGTAACTTGCAAATTAGGGCACAGTAATGGCTCAATAGTCACCAGCTTCAGATGGCTCCTATAGCCAAGCAGGAGAAGAGCCAAATCCCTGACAGTCAGTGGGAGTCACTCCTCTAACATACAAGGCGTCCAGATGTCGGCCTGAAGGAGGGTTATGCAAAGGGAAGATAGCCTCTCCTACAGGTCGTGATATCAAAAGCCACAGGTTTGTAGTTGTCATGCTATGGAGACATCAGCCTGAGGGATGGCCTAAAGATGACTGTGGGGATGAGCATGACCTTTAATTCTCAGTTTTCTGTGTGTTCCCAAGTGATTTATTTAGGTTCTGGGATCACTAAGAGGAGAGCATTGTAACCTACTTTGTACTAGGTGAATACTTTGAAACTTTTCCAAAAATGTAAATGCTTAGGTGCCTTGGAAGGAGGCAGTGTGTATGTGGAGACAAGTAACAGGCTGAAAATGAAGAATCATTAATTTCAAAGTACTTAGTTGATTAAAGAGCATATCCCAATGCCCATTCCATCCAACACTCAGAAGATTGCCTTCCTGCCTCTTACACTTGGCTCTTGCATGAATGAGCCATGGCCCTCCTCCTCCTGTTCTCTGTGAATAGATTCCAATGCTGGCAATTTTTCTTTAACATCAGAAAGCATCAGCCCCTTCATATGAAAACAAAGCCAAGGGATCACAACACAACTGCACAACATTCCTCACCCACGCCCTCCTCCCTCGTATCCATTGGCATGTGGGTGTCTGTGCAGCATAGGCTTTGGGGTGCCCAATGTGGCCCATTCCTCATTTTCCTTTGCAATCCTTCCTCCGCCTATCTGTGGCTTATAGCATTTAATGACACAAGAGAAGATTTACAGAATTAAAAAAAAAATCTACTTAACAGCAGTCTCCTCTTGAAGATGTAAATATTCATAAACATATCAACTCTTCCAGACCCATCACAAATAGAGCTGCCAATGACACCACGGCTGCCTTAGGCATTGTTCTAATAAGTTAGGAGCAGGCAAGTGGAAGGGGATATTTTTAACTTTAGAATTTTTTTTTTTCAAAAGCCATTTCGAAGTACCCTGCTGGGAATGGAGCTGGATAGAAGCTGTTTTCTAGAAACTGAGAATGCCTCAAACAGAGTTGTAGGACAGATCTGAAATGGTGATTGAGACAAGGTGATCATATCTTACATTTCCATAACACAGGCCTCACAGAGGATGTTCTGGAAAGCAAAACCTGATGTCAGCTTCACTTGTCCCAGTGTGAAGATGTGTGTCCACCATCTCAGCAAAAGGGGCTCCCTCAGCCTGAACAAAACGTGCCAGTTCTTGGCGAACTCTGGAGGGTAGACAAGACGAGGTAGAGCCCTGGGTGTCCCTCTTTTATTCTCACAATCATTGGGGGATCTTTCACAGAGATTCAGCCATTAGTACTATGGCTTCTCAACTGGTGGAGCCACAGTTGTATTATCTGGGCATAAGTCCTTGATAAATATGTTCCCTTAATTCAGTTGTTATTTATTATTCAATAACTGTCCTATTAAACTTAAATTAATGGGATATTTGGGAGACATCCCTGAATGCTTTTTCCACTTGTTCCTGTCAAGGGAATTCTGCTAGATCTTTAATATCACCCAGCTCGCAGACCACACTGTAGCCCGCACGTTTCACTTGGGGGGGTCTCAGTCATGGGTCTCTTGCAGCTGTAAACAGATAGTCAGGCAACTGTTGGCCATTGATCAGAAGCCATCCATCATTCGACTAAAGTTTGCCACCCCTTGCTTGGCCCCTTCCTTCCCGCGTCCACTCCTCAGGGAGCGCCTTGAAAGATTACAGCTCAGCAGCAGACAGGGTGGGAAAGCAAGAAGGGATTAGAGAGAAAATAGATTCATGAGAAGACAGATAACAGAGTTGTTGGGGCTCTGTTAATTAAAAAGCAGCAATTTGTCTGAATTCTGAATGTGAAGAATCCCCTGGGAGATATTAGCCAAGCTTCCTCTGAGAATCAGACGTGCTCAATTTCCCCGCTGTAACACGTTACAGCCAGGGGACTGTGGGGTGCTTCCTGCCCTGTCTGTCTTTGTTTGGAAGCCTGGACACCCTTGGTGGAGAAGTCCATGGGGCCACTGTCCTCTCCACACACTCGTACAAGGCTTGAGATCCCAGGCTTCCTAAAGAGATTCAGACTCCCTCTTCCCCAAATATTATGTCCTACTAATTCAATAACGATGTCAACCAGTATACTAATAGTACTGATAATACTGAGAACTTATGCCAGGCCAGGTACTGTTCTACATGATTTACATGATTAACACATTTTCATTCTCACAGTTCTGTGAGGCAAATACTCTTATCATCCCCATTTTATCAGAGAAGTGAACTAACTTTGAAATTAATGTGCAAAGGCAAGAAGGATGATGGCAGAACAGCCCGCCTCAACCCCTGCTCTCTACTGACCATCACAAGGACAATTTGCCACTTATGAAAGGTTGCTAAAATCCTGTAAAAGAAAGCGGTGAACAGATACCATTTGGAGCCAGAAACTACACACTCTATACAGATAGAAAGTGCCTGCTGGATAAAAGCAGCTCTCAGTATACTGCAGGTTAATTAATCTTGTGACTCTGTGTTGCCTTCAGAAGAAGTAAAAGCTTCCCTTTGTCTATGGCATATACTTATTTGGGGAAAAAACTATCATTTTTTCTTATGGGCTCCTGGTTGGTTCCTACCAACAAGATACCCCAGGACAAAAGATCAGTTAATTCTAGGAGATGCAGCTCATACCAAGAGAGGCTTTGCTGTTGTGCCCCAGAGGGACATCGTCTTGCAAGATTAAGACAGGGATCTCTGTCTCCTCCTAGATTGTTCTAGGACCTGGCTCTTTGAAGATGTTTAGAACATGTGCCCCAGGGTGCCCACCATGCATAATGTGCATTTTGACCATGAAGTGGCAAGTAAGTTAGTACTGTTAATTAACACAGTATGTTTAAAAGTCCAGATGATCTTACTTTACAAAACCTCAATAACACGTAAATATTCCCTATGGATTCAGGATTTATAGCTTCATTTACATTAATCTTTATACAAAAATATTTATGGAAAGCCTGCTACGTGACAGATTTTACTCTGAACCTAATGGATACAACAGTGAATGACACAGATAGAACTTGCGGCCCTTATGGGGCTTACAATCTAAAGGTTGTCTTTCAAATATGGAGTTTCCTAGGAGTACAACATTGGCTTCTGTGTGATCTTTAATTTTCTGAGACTCTCAGTTACCTAAAGTAAAATTTCTCCATCGACAAGGAGAGCCCAGAGTCATTTTTTGGACACGACCACCTCGGATCATCTCCGATTCATTTAAAGACTTGGCAGTAATGGAAAGTATTATCAGAAGAGATAGTGCTCGAGACACCAAGCAAGCTGAATCTCATCCTGGACATGTCTTGAGTCCTGGACATGGAATCAGAAGATTTCGGCTTATCTGACCTACCTCACACTGACCGCATGACTTCCTCTCTGGCCTTCAGATTCTCTACCTGTAAACTGAAGGAGATTGATACCCACAGTACCTATCTGAAAGGGTTAGATAAAGCTCGAAGCCAAACAAAGCAAAATGGAAATGGATTGCAGATGTGAACATGCTTGGAATCTAAGAACTAGCTCAGAGACATGAGGTGTTGATCTCAATAAACTAATGTGCAAACTGAGATCAATGTGGCCTCAAAACCTGACCTGCTTCCTTGACAATGTGCAGGTCAAAGTTTTCTTAGGAACTGTTTTCACTGCTGTCTTTTGCTCTCCATTTGTGTTAGTTTTTGATGTGTTGGCTTGGATAGACTGAACTCCAGTCTCCAGAATTCTCTTTCCCATATGTTTCCCATTACCTGGAGTACAATGGAGTTTCAGGTGAACATGAGGACAGAGAGGAAGCAGCTGCTTGGACATGGAGTCAGAAGACTTCTCCCAGTTATTCAACAACACAGTAATCTAGGTGCTGCTGTGGAGAGATTTTGCAGATATGATTGAAATACCCAGTTGATGACTTTAAGTTAATCAAAAGGAAGAATCAAAATGGTCGAACTAAACCATTGGAAGGCTTAGACCCTCCATGATGGAGACGGGACCCCTGGATCCACCGCTGTTCTCCCTTCTCCCTAAACCTTCCTTCCCTGATTGTCACCTTAGGACAACGAACTTCAGCTCATGCCAGTAAAGTTCTTACCTGTTCATGTGTTTCCCTTCCTGGTTGCCTACCCTAAGAACCCTGACCTTACTTGGCCCACATTTGGGCAAACCATCCTTTGGGAAAATCCATTTAGATGTGTGTATGTCTCCTCCTGGCCCCAATGCTGTGGTTGGACCCTGACTGAAGCATCATTACTAGCCTGCTTGTCGAATAGCATGAGTATTCTCATGCTTAGAGCAAAGTTGGCATCAGCAACCTTGGGAGGTACAAGTTTCTAGCACGTTAAATGCTGGAGGAAGGGGCTGAGTGGGTAAGCCCATGTTCACATAAAAATTAGTAAAGCATAGTAAGCTGAAGCCCAGAGATGACTTCCTTGGAAATCTCTCCTACTCAGAATCATCCCGTGGGCTCATGAGTTCCTAGGTGTAGTGCTATCTTCCTATGTCCTTAGGGTTGTCAGTATGAAATTAGGTGGTCTACCAGGTTTTTTAACTTCTTTTTTTTTTTTTTTTTTTTTTTTTTTGCCGGTGCAGTTTGTCCTGAGCAATCAAGATAAATGGCCAGTTCAGGTAAGTTTGTGCAACAATCCCAGCAAGAGAAACACTAAATCAATCTATTGGGGAAATATTAATGCTCTCATTAGGAGGCTTAATTATTCACATCAGCCTCTGGTTCTTTCCATGACATTAATTCCATTTCTGACTTCAGAGCAATTGCTCTTAAACTTGTGAAACAGCCAACAGGTGCTCTCAGTTCCTAGAATGTGAAAATATTTTGCCAACAGCCAGATGCGATCAGTCTCAGAACCAACCTTTTCTCCTCCTCCTCCTGCTTCTCTTCCTCCTCCTCTCAGCACACACACACACACAACTTGTTTCTTCTGAATATTCAGACCAAAGCTCCTATTTTTTATGCACACTCATACTTACACTCCTGTCTTTTTCTCATTCAAAATAGTAACAATAGAAACAAACATATATTGATTTCTATGTGCCAAGCACTGCTTTGAATGATTTAAATATATCAACTGATATATCTAGCATCTATGAGGTACTACTTTTTTATTATCGATATTTTACCAACAGCGGAACTGAGATGCAGATGATTAGCATCTGGCCTGCAGTCAGCTAATTACAGAAAGGGGGAGTTAGGGTTTGAAGCTGGGCGGTTGGCTCTGGAGCCCATGCCCTTTATCTTTGTGATAAATTGCCATTTCCTGTCCAAGATACTATGCCATGCTTCTCTTCCATATAGCTCTACATAAGGTTTTGCTATGGTAAAAATAGCCTCTAAACATTCGAGAAGGCATTCAGTTTATGTAGGACAGGATGGAGCTTCCTGATTTTTTATTATAAGCTCCTCCCATCATTACAGAAAACTCAAATTTCTTTTTCTACAATTAAAGGGCCTTCAGCATCCTCATAATGACACTACACACAATGCAAATTTCAGATCATCTATGAGGATAGTGCAGTGTTCATCTCTCCACCCACTTGAGAGTTTTCCAGATGGATGGTTCTGCCACAGGCACTCCAGCATCAGAAGCAAATACACCCAAACAAGCTTTTTGTCATGTACCTGTCTTTCCCCAGAGCTCTGCCTCACCTTATGGGAGTCAGTGGGGAGGAAATAAACCCCCAAGGGTGAGACAAAGCAAAGCTTCATTAGAGTTTGTAGGGATTTCAATTCTGGCTAAACCTTCAGGTTCTTACCCTCAGGGGACAACACAGCAAGAGCTGTGGTTTTTGTGCCCAGGCAGTTTTCCCCCCTTTGAATAAAATAACATCAAAAAACACTGTTCCGAAGAGGGGGGCATTAATGGCAAATACAGTTCCCAAATAAACTAAGGGTTTCAGAAAGTTGGAAAACTTCAGGTAGGAAAAGTAATGATGTGTTTCAAATACATGAAGAGCTGTCCAACTAAAATTAAGTAAATAAATCCAGTATAAAAGAATCACTTGAAGTCATTTATTCCTTAAAAAAATATATACTTTTGGGGGCACCTGAGTGGCTCAGTCAGCTAAGCATCTGACTCTTGATTTTGGCTCAGGTCATGATCTCAGGGTCCTTGGATCAAGCCCTGTGTCTGGCTCCAGGCTGAGTGTGGAGCCTGCTTCAGATTGTCAGTCTCTCCCTCTGCTCCTCCCCCATTTGTGAGTGTGTGTGTGCACTCTCTTTCACAAAATAAACATTAAAATATAAATTTACATTTGAGGTGCATGGGAAACTCAGTTGGTTAACTGTCCAACTTTGGCTCAGGTCATGATCTTACAGTTTGCAGGTTCAAGCCCTGTATCCGGCTCTGCACTGACAGCAAGGAGACTGCATGGGACTCTCTCTATCTCCCTCCCTCTCTCTGTCCCTCTCCCACAAGATCGTGTGCTTGCTCTCTCCCTCTCTCTTTCTCTCTTAAAATAAATAAATAGTGGCACCTAGGTATCTCAGTCAGCTAACATCTGACTCTTGATTTCAGCTTGGGTCACGATCTCACAGGTTCATGAGCTTGAACCCCATGTCGGGCTCTGCATTGGCAATGCAGAGTCTGAGTGGAATTCTTTCTCTTTCCCTCTCTCTCTGTTCTTCCCCAACTTGTGCGCTCTCTCTCTCAAAATAAATACATTTTATAAATAAATATATAAATAAATAATAAACATATATACATATGTTTGAACTTGATTGAACATGAGCTTATGAGGTGCCCCTCAGGTGCTAAGAGACTATTGGCAAGCCTGGAAAGGTCTCTGTCCTCTTAGAATTTATATTCTAGAAATCTTTCTAAAAGAGGAAATATCTGAATGCATTCATAGTTTAGTGGACATCTGCCCTTTTGGCCTCCTCCATAGCCCTTTTTTGGTGAATATCACCCAGATATTTCTTTCATAGAGCAACCTCTATATCCACATCAGGCCTTTAGGCTCTGGAGGCAGGCTTGGGTCCCAGGCCCAGCCCATGAAACCATACTGTGCCATTAGGGTTTAGGAATTGTTTCATGGCTGAGGAGGTGACTCAAGTCCTGTGAGAAGATTCATCTCCCCCCACCCATCCCGTGACTCTGTGAGTCTGGCCTCTGGGTTTTCCAAACTGTTGGATGTAAGCCAGGAGCAGCTGGAGACCACCATGTGGGGAAAGCTTCCCTGGGAATAAAGGCAGCAGAGTACAAAGCAGAGCCCAGTGGTGCAGAGATAGAGAGACTAAATCCTAATTACACTGTTTGAGCCCGTGAATCCTGTTATACCTGAAATCAGATCTACTTCTGGATTTTTGAGATACATGAATTAAATTTCTCTCACTTTATTTTTCTTAAGCCAGTTTGAGCTGGGATTCTATCCTTTGCAACCAAAATAGGTCTTGACTAAGTGCAGTTCAGAATTTCACCCATTTTCAGCTGATGTTTTAAAGGGACCGTATCCATGAGCTACCTTTAAAAGACTGGGTTGCGCTCTATCACTCACCAGATTTCGGACCCAGGTTTCTCTGTTCTCACACCTCGAAACTGATAATAATATCAGAGCCTTCTTGCTAAGTTTGCTGAAAGGTCCAATGAGATCATGGATGGAGAAAGCCTGGCACAGTGCCAGGCGCATGGTATGCCCTCAATAAATGGTAGGCATTATGATTGTGATGACAATGGTTATTATCATCATCATCATCATAAACATTAAAATCCTTTCCTTGGCTCCAAGCCCTCCCCTCCAGCAAGTGCCCTGTTTCCCTGCCCCCCTTCACAATAAATCTTTTTTTAAAAATCACGTATGTTCTCTGTTTTGCATTTTTCACTTTCTATCCCCTGATTTCCATCCACTCCAATCAGGCTTTGTTCCCATTATGCTATTGAAATTGCTATTGTCAAGGTCGCCTGTGAACTCCTTCCTGCCAAAAACAATGATTAAAATTTCTCTCATTGTACTCAGCCCTTCAGTGGCATTGATCACAGTGGATGCATTCTTTCCTTGGAAGCATTTTCCTTACTTGATTCTGGGAACCGCTCACTTGGCTTTTCTCTTACTTTTTCTCTACCTTCTCTCTCAGTCTTCGCTGACTCATCTTTTTCTGATCATCACTCTCTACTGCAATCCTGCGTCTTCTTTCTGGCTGGGCTATGAAACAGACACGCTAGTGCCAGGCTCTCCCCTCCACCTCACCATCCGCATGACATCACCTGGATGGCTAGGAGGGCCCTAAATAAATGCAAGTTGAGCACAACTGACCCATTGGTTTCACCATCCATCTCCTTCCATCAAGCGTTCCTCCTCACATGTTTCCATTGGTAAATGGCATGGCCATTCCTACTTTCTCAGGCCAAACCCTACACATTATCTTTTTTTCTCTGTTCTCATTGTCATGTCCAATCCATCAGCAGATGCAAGCTCTGACTACGTTCTGGATCTCAGTCTGCCCCATTCACTCCACTCCTTCCCCAGTCCAAGCAGAGGACCACACAGCAGCCTCCTACTGGTCTCAGTGCCTCACATTTGCTCCCTAATGCTGATAGATCATGCCTCTGCTGCCTCAAAACCTCAGGAGCTTTCCATTATGCCTATAGTACAACCCGAACATTAAAAAAATTCCCCTAAGAGCCTGCTGTACATGGCCCTAAAGGCTGCTCTGCCCACCACTTACCTACTTGTGCCTGCCTGCCTTCCTCACTGTGCCACAGCTTTGCACGAGGCTCCAGGTGTCCTCACCTGCTGCTCCCAGCTCTAATCACAGCTAGCTCTGATCATAGAGTTCTTTGTTCCAATGCCTCCTCCCTAGAGAGAATTTGCCCAACCATGCCACCCAAAAAAGTCTCTTTCCCACCTCCATTCACTCTCTTTCTTGTGTTGTGCTCTATTTTCTTCAACTTATTTATTATTTATTTTCACCTATCCATTGGCTGCCTTCCTTGGTTGGGTGCATTATCGCATAAGCATAGATGAAAGACATATAAGGATTTAAAAGCAACTGGCAGGGACTGTTCTGATCTATCAGTGAGCAGCAGGGGAACGTCTGAGTCTTCTCTCTACTCATAACACTGTGGAAAGTTCAACTGCCTCCTTTCAGCCTACTCTGCAAACTTCGAGTTGAGAAACATACTTTCAAGTGGTGACTTACCTCCTGGGTGAGCTGCCTTTGTTGTAAGAGAAATAATAATTTTAAAACCTTAACACTCAAAGTACTCCAACTGTCATGGATTTCGGAGGGGAGGGGGGTAGAGAATAAGTTATAAATAATTTTCATGCTATATTTGTCATCTACTAAAAAGTAATCTGGTGTCATTCCTGAACATCTGATATAAAATTGACTGTAATTTCATTAACTATCTCATACCCTAATAGGAAAGAGACAGGCATAGGTAACATGAGTACAGAATGATTAGCTGCATAAATATCTCAATCAATACCTGTTTAGAGTCTCTGGGGAATTGGAAATCAATAAGATAAGCTAGATCAATGTTAAATCTCTCCCAAGATTTAGTAAATCTCTAATCATAAAGAGAATGTCTCTCTCTGTGAAAATGGAGATAAACCAGGACACATTAAAGAATAAATTTACTATGAAATCAGCTACTAATTTCAAGGGTCCCCCAAATTAAGTGTCTGGAGAAAATGTCTGTTCTTAGGGTGAGGGCAACATTCCTTTAAACTCAATTTGACTGGACTTTATCCTAAACTCTAAGACACTGTTGCCTGATTAATTCAACCTGATTCTGATCACGGCAAATCTCTGCCAAGCCCTCAAGCATGTGGAATGTTCAGATGATTCTATATTAATTTTTAATTGTTATATATGGCTTAGTAAGTGTAAAATTTCGTTCATGGACATTGTTTTCTTCATAAAATGGATTGACAACTCCTCCAGGGGAAAGATATTACTACATCTCTCACTCTTTTATCTTTTGTCTTTCATTTTACTCAAGCAGGGATCTGTATCCTGTACACAGGTAGCCAGAATCCTATGTTAAGTGCTTGGCTCTGGAGCCCAAGGGAATACCCCTTACAGAAATTCCATCACCTAGAGGGGCAGAGTGTAGACCTCAGGTTGGCATGGAATGTGATTCTGAATTGTACAAGGTCAAAGGCTAGCTAGATTTAATGGGAACACACTTGATCACATGTGCTGGTCCTTCTGCTTCTAGATGGACTGCTTTTCCAGTCCCATTCTTCACCCTTTCTGCCCTGTCTGTGCCCTTGGAGACTGACTTCTACAGACATTATCAGCCAGGCTCCCTTGCCTTCAGCTTGTGGTTGGGTTTGGCCAATGTTTTGCCCAAGCAGAAGATGGCAGGTGCTAGGAGAGAGGAGTTGAGGATCCTTAGCCCAGCTGCTGTTAGACAGTCTTTTTCTCAAAGCTACAGCCCACATCAGTACTTCATCATCACATTTGCTTCCTGAATTCTGCCCATATCTCTGTCACAGCCCCTTTATTACATATCCTTCCATAAATGTATTGGATTTCCCACAGAGTCTTCTCTGATTTTCATGTGCCTATTGAGGGTGTACGCATGACCAAAAATATGTTGAACTCATACAATGTATAAGACAATATTCTAAGTGTTTATAATTCACAAAGCAAATAAAACACCCTAACACTACATGCTTATTTTCTTTATAACACATTATAGTATACTTTATCTTTACTGGTTTATTATCTACCTTCCTTACCAGACTGGGAATATCTTGAGTGCCAGAACCATGTCTGTTTTACTCAATATACATCCACCCCGTGCTTTTGAAGAATTTCAAGCTGACTCATAAAGTTAGGTAAATGCTTAGCCATAATATAATAAATGTTTAAATGTAGCATGATTGAAACTATCAAAATACATAGGAGGAAGGGCTTGATTCTGACTAGGGAGAAGGAGACATGACATGAGACTTAAAGAATGGATAGAAGCTTCTCAGAAAGAAAAGGGTGTAGGGGAACATTCCAGATAGAGGAAACAGGTTGAATACCGGGCATTAAGACACAAAGGATCATGGTGTTATGATGTGGGGTGGGGGGAGGGGCGAGGAGTGCTGGTGGACATCCTGATTATTTGATATACTGAAACATGGGGGTTTCTAGGAAGAATAGAGGCAAGTAAGATAGGAAAGACATGTTACATTGAGAAGGCAGTACACCAGGGAAGAATTTAGAGAGTCCTTCTTGCCTTGATTTCTACATTATGGTAACATTTCAGGAACCTTCTCATTTCAGTAAAAAGAAACAGTCCCCCTCCCACCATGGCAGCATCTTGAAAGAATTCTAACTCAGAGGTCAAGGGCTTTGTCTAGGCTTAGCACCCAAAATGCCCCCACCCCTCTTTTGTGCTTCCCTTCTGTGTTTCTCAGCATCTCCCAGGACAAGGCAGCTTTTTGCCAAGGTTTCTGTCCATTGTTGAGAGTCTATGTATAATCTCAGTATTTTATTTTATTTTATTTATTTATTTATTTTTAAGGGTTCTTTATTTATTTTGAGAGAGACAGAGAGAGAGATAGAATTCCAAGGCTCCACACTATCAGTGCAGAGCCTGATGTGGGGCTCAAAGTCATGGATCGTGAGATCATGACCTGAGAAAAGATCAAGACTCAAACGCTCAACTGACTGAGCCACCCAGGCCCCCCATTTTCATGTTTTTTAATTTTCTTTATTTATTTTGAGAGAGGGAGACAGAGGGAGACACAGAGAGAGAGAGAGAGAGTAGCCTATTTTGAAGATAAAGATAAAAATAAAACAGCAAGGCTTTTTTACATTCAATATACAGAAGCAGTAATAATTGCACTTCAGGAGACAAAGGAAGACTGGACTTTGAAGATACCCTCACAGTGGTTTCCAAATCAGTTGTAGCCTCACTGACCTAAGTCACCTCCAGTGGGGCCAAGGTTAAACCAGGAAATGACAGCGCCAGGGAAACTTTGCTGTAAGCTTCAGACCTGTGATAATTTGAAAAGACCTGTATCATTGGTCATTGAAACTAACCAAATTTTCCCCATGACAACCATGTGGATTTCTAGCCTAAAGACGCAGTGGTAGGAACTATTGATTCTATGTAGTATCGTTCAGAGATCAATGCAGTAATATCACAGATCAACATTATGGACTTGCCTGCAGGCTGAATAGCCACCCCAACACTTGTTACCTTATAGATATTTTGAAATCTCAAAAGTTTCTGGGCCCAGCGCCTTGATGTTCAAAACATCTGCGGACTCTTTAATTTAGTGATTCATATGATAATGATTCATAATGATCTAATATTATCCATAGATCTCTGAGGGCCTCCAAGACCTTTCAGGGAGTTTGTGAGGGCAGAGCTATTTTCATAATGATATTAAGACATTTTTTTGCTTTTTTATCATGTTGATATTTGCACTCATGTGGCAAAAACCAATTAGCTTTTTGCAAAAGCAAAACTGCCAGAGCCTTAGCACAAACCACAGGATCAGCAGCAACTTGTACCAGTGTCATTATGATCTTCACCTCCACATTGAAACTCCCGAAAGCCAGTTTCACTTAAGGATGGACTTCATTAGGAGCTCCTCGGTGGCTCAGTTGGTTAAGCATACGACTCTTGACTTCAGCTCAGGTCATGATCTTGTGGTTTGTGAGTTCGAGCCCTACATCTGTGTTGGCAGTGCTGAGCTTGCTTGGGATTCTCTCTCTCCCTCTCTCTGCCCCATCGCTCTCTCTGTCTCTCTGTCTCTCACTCTCTCTGTCTCTGTCTCTCTGTCTCTCTGTCTCTGTCTCTCTCTCTCTCTCTCTCTCTCTCTATATATATATATATATATATACATGTAACAACAAATAAATAAATAAACTTAAAAATAATGTCCTTCATTAAATAGTAAAAAAATTAATTTTATTAGATCTCAACTCTTGAGTATTAATGTTTTTTAATATTCTGTGTAATGAAATGGGAAGTTCACACAAAGCACTTCTCTTGCACCCTCAAGTACAATGTTGTCGCAAGGAAATGCACTTGCATCTGAGTTGCAAGCTGAACGAGCTGTTTTCACAGAGCGTGATATTTACCTGAAAAAAACAACGTCCAGTCCATGGTTATTTAGACTCAGGAACTTGCCAGTCATTTTTTCAAAAGTGAAGAAAGGAAGCCAATTACTTCATAGAAGAAAACTTGTACCTGTTATCAATGCCAAAATTTTCAGGTGAAAATTAGAATTTTGGAAAACTTTTATCAGCACCCATTGTCTTTACAGCTTCTAATACTCAGATGTCATGAATGAGATCTGTGGTGATATTCACAGTCAAGGGATATGATTTTGAATTCTAGATTTGCCACCAACTATCTATAAAACCTCAAGCCACTCCTCTCTCTGACTCTCACATCCCTAAATTCAAAACCAAAATTAAGATAAATGATTTTTTTGTAGTTACTTCTAATTCTTACATTTATGTTCTCTCATCTTCTGTCTCTTCTTTTTTTTTTTTTTTCCTTCTCTCATACTCAGGTTACAGAGCTTCTAAGCTTCTTAGAAGGATGAAAGGATATTTGCTACCAGGGCCAAGAGGGAGACCACAAAACTTCTAGAGGGGAATCATCTCCCTCCCTCATTGTCACTGGGCCTTGCATATCAGAGTCTGGATACAAAGGATTCTGACACATCATAATAGCCACATATTACCTATGTAGCCAGCCACACACAGAAAAGCAGCTCTCCTCCACTCTTGAAATGTAGCTTAGCACCTGTGTGCAGGTTTGTGCTCAGGCCTGTCTGCTCCCTGCTGAGGGCAAAGTCATGCTGAAGGATGGAGGGAGATGCTCGGTGAAAGCCAGGTGTGGAGGGGAGGAAACGACCACCATGCCTTCGGTTTGCCAGCTCCACTATGCCAAGGCACCTGCAGTCCTCCTATAGCGCAGCTTGACAGAAACTGCCCGATGAGAAAAACAAGCATCCTGCTGAGAAGGAAGCCTCCCCATTCAAGAGTATAAGTGAAGGATGCTGAAAAGCCTTACCACATTTTAAAAGCACTCCTCTTTGGGCCCCACACGGAGGTCTGGAAAGGCTGTGCGCAGCGGTTCCTTGCTAAATGCTTGTTGACTGGGGGACTGACTGCATGCAGAGGTGACGGACATGCCAATCTCTGCCTGCATCCAAGTTTGCATTAGCCAATGAGACCGCTGCCTCGAGAGCTGCAGAAGCTGCTCTTAACCAGGCTGGCTCTCACAACAAGGTCAGTCTTGCCGCCACTTCTTTTTGCTATGGTTGAATTCTCTTAAAGTGTGCGCAAGAGGAATAAGAGCTGAGGAAAGGGAGGAGGAAGATATTCTTGCCTGCAGCTAGTTTCTTTGGTTGCTTTTCTACAAGGAAATCATCCTCTTTGCATTAATTTCTTCTTTGTTTAAAATTGTCTGATTAAGTCTCCACAAATCTAGAGAATTGTTCTACCTCTTATTCTTCCTTCTCTTTTCAGTCTGGCAGCCACAAGAACAAATCACAAGGTGGATGTGCTTTGCTTCCTTATAGTCACACGGAGGAGAAAAAGAGAGAGGAAGTAGGGACAGGGTTGGGGCAGGAATGGGGAGAGTCCTAGAGATAGCAAGAAAACATCCTTGTGGAGCTAAATTGCATTCAACATAACAAACTATCGTCTTGAAATGAGTGTTCCAATTGAGTTTTGATGTAAACACTAATATTTCCTCCACTGAGCTCTGCTCTCTCAGACAATCTCATGTATATTTCACTATGTGTCCTACCTACTATTACACTCATACATCAAAGAATCTGAGGACAAGGAACCTGATTTTGAAAACATTATTCTTTTAAAGATTTATCCTCTCATCTTGACCACCTCCTTAGCTGGAAGGGAGCGGTTCTCCATAAATTATTTTTAATGTGTCATGCAAAAGGGATCTTCTCACCTTTTCTTCAGATGACTTTTCCACAGGTATAATTAGGTGGGGGCCCTTGATTTTGTTTCTGTTCTTCTTTCCATCCATGTACATTAGGTATGTTCATAAACGGCACCCAAAAGTAAATCAAAAGGGAAGGTGGGGTTTCAAAAAAGAAAATTTCAATGATACTTTAGAGGAAGCCCAATGGAAGGAGGGCATGGGGTCTTACTTAGCTTCAAGAAGGGACACTAAAAATGATCACCCCCCAAAATCTTGGAAATAGGTGTGAAGATGCCTTTTAGAGGGGGTCCTTTAGTCCAGCCTATGCTCAGTGTCGTTTCCAAGGCTATGTTTTGCTAATCCCAATAGTGCTCAAGCTTCAGGTGTCCACCAATAATAAGATGAAGCTAAGCCTCTCTTACCTAGTCTTGCAGTCAGCAGATGTGTTTCTGAACATTTTACTCCTACTGCCTGGCTTAGGCTCTTCCAAACTGGCCAAAACCTGAGGGAAAGTAAGTTCATGATAACCTGCTAAGCCTCACTATTTTAAATCTCATGGATCCTCATTGTCCACGTGCAGGTGAAGTCAGTATCAGTATCTCTTTACACCCTGAACTTCACCACCATTATCGCAAACGGGCTTAAAAACTTTTCCCAGAAAATTTTAACTTGCAAATAATAGTATCTAACAAAATGGGGCTCAGATCCTCCTTTCTTGTAACATATTGGTTTCCAGTTTAGGATTTCCATGCCAAAGATTTGCATAAAAGCTCTGGGCCCAAAATGTTATGCTTTGTCCTTTCTCTACTTTGTACTCCTTCTTCTAATCAATAGATGAGGTCTTCTGTGCCTTCTTATCCATTTGACATATCACTAGGACAGGACTGACTGAGCAATCTCCTAGGAGGAGACCCTGCATCACTCTTACTGCTATTTCAGGCTTGATCTCCTGTCCCCATTTTTTTTTTAAGTTTTTATTGATTTTTATTTTGGAGAAAGAGAGAGCACGAGCAGGGAAAGGGCAGAGTGAGGGAGAGAGAGAGGGGACAGAGGATCCGAAGTGGGCTCTGCACAGACAGCAGAGAGTCCAATGCGGGGCTCAAACTCACAAACTGTGAGAGCATAACCTGAGCCAAAGGCAGACTCTTAATCCACTGGGCCACCCAGGCACTGCTTCTGTCCCCGTTCTGTCTTAGGCTGTTTCAACAACCACACCATTGACACCAATTTTGATAACTCCACTTGAGCATCATTCCTACACCTGAGGTGCTGCTTTGGTAGACTGGATTCCATCCTGCTCTGTCTACAAACAGGCTTCCGTCTTGTTTCTATTACCGCTGCATGTCACCAACCTGCGGCGAGAGTACTGGTGGGCTCCCCTGGTGTGGCTGTTCTCCGACACCGCTGCAGGAACCCAGAGTCTATGGACACAACTGTCCCATCCTTGTATCTGCCTAGTATCCATCACCGTCCATCCACACTGAACTTTTCTGGGTTTTTAGAGATCATGCTGTCTTTCTGTTGTATCCTAGTTACTCTGTCAGTGCCTGCTGCAGGGTCTGTCTGTCCAGATACCAGCTATGCCAGTGCAGGTCCAGTCTGCACTGGACCACCTTCTCCTCCTTGACCTTTGCTGATTGCTCCAGTCTATAATAGCGAACCAGAGTGGTGAAGTCCTAAGAGAGAACTGCCACTTTGTGTCCTGCAAAAGGAGAGAGAAGGAAACCAGTGGCTGGTCCTCTCGGGCTCTGGGTACTCTCAAGAGGTCTCTTTTACACCTGTCATGTCTTCTTTTTTTGTTAAGCACAACAGACTAGGCAGCATCTCATGGTGTCAAAAAGGAGGAAAGGTACACTGTGCTCTTATAAAATGTCTTATGGATTCGTATTCCACGAGCTCTGTGAGATTTTTCAGTGATGTTCATGCACTGAGACTGTGAAGCATGTCTGTGTTAACACTTTTAATAGGATTTGAATGATGACTTTGGGTCCTATTTATATGCTGTAAGGTTTTCATCAGCCTCATTCTCAAAAAAAGGTCATTTACAGAGCAGTTTGTGATCATTAATATGAGACAGATCTTCAAAGCAGTTTCTGAATTGAGAAAAATTTCCTGGATGTTTTTGTCAAACTGGCTAACCGTGAGCAGGATTTGATCACTTGAATGTGTCAATGGTAGACAGGACTGGGAAGATAACTGCTTTAACATCTGTTTTTCAAGAAATGGTTTCCTAAAGCCCCTTGTGGTTGAGCCTATTATAGGGAAGGGGCTAGATGCAAAAAAAAAAAAAATAGAGGTGGCCTTGATGCAGAGGAGGGAGAGAATGGTGCATAGAGTCAGGGTTTTGGAGAGGCAGATAAGGCCCCAGGTAGAGAAGCAGACTAAGCTTTGGAGGGGCAGGTAAGGCCTGGCTAGAGAGTTAAACAAGGCAAGGAAGGGGTAATAAGGCCCCAGGTAGCATCAGACAAACATTAGAGCAGCAGGTAAGGTTCAGGTAGAGAGTCAGGCATGGTGAGAAGAGGGGCAGGGTATGGCCCTGCTGTGCAGGGAGGAGAAACGCGGATGACTCCTGGCCGAGAAGGCTGCGGAGCTGAAGAAATGATGCCGGGTCAGAGTGCAGTTTCTCAGCTCATTTATGGAGGTTTGTCTCCACTTGGTGGGCAATCACTAGCACTGCACATCCACGCTGTACATCAACCCTACCCGGTTTCCTGGCTGGGGCCCAACTGCTACTGGCCTTCCCACAGGTTAGGAGTCAGTACTTGTCGGCCAGACGACGGGTGGGTGGGCAGGCCTGCCATATTGAAAAGACAGAAGTCCCCTCTGTTGCAGGTATACAGCCCTCGGTGATGTTGCTCGCGACCAGGAAAAAGTGTGGAGAGCCAAACAGCGAGAAAGAGCTACAAGCTGGATTCGACTAGAGACTGTCTTTCAGAAGACCCCAGGTGGCCACTCAGAGGCCATCTTTCCTTGGTGCCCCCCACCCCGGAAGGCCATGGGAGGGAGAAATCCACTCTATGCTGTGAATATGCTTTGTGAAATTCTTTCCTAGGACAGATTGGCACCACGCTTGCCTTTCATTAGGAGCAGATGAATGGGACTAGAGGGCTGTATCAAGGAATATGTTTAGTAAGAACCTCACAAATTATAGATCTGCGTTAGGCCAGGGCCAGAATTTTATTAGTATCTGTAACTATATTGCCTGACATGCAATAAATAGTCATGTGAATGTAAGAAAGTGAATATAATGTAAGAAATATTTAAAAAGCTATTATTCATATGCTCCAAAAACATTTATTGGAAACCTACTATGTGCTAAACATAGAACACTGACCAAAATGTACAAATCTGGGCTTTGGAGCCTGTATTCTTTCACTGTGGTAGACATTCATCAAGATCCGTCTGTAAAATATATATGTCCAATAATGATAAGCACAAGGAAAAAAATAAAACAAGGGGAGGGGAATTGCCAGGGGTCTGAAGTGGAGTGCAATTAAGGACTGATATCCCCAGTGAAGGACATAGCTTGTGGCACCAGCTGGCAGAGAGCAGGATGCACAGGAAACGGTTTCAATCTGGTGCTTGGCAAAGGGATCGCTGTGTTCATGCTGGACATGAGTGGGTGTGAAACTCCACTGGGGAGCAAGGATATTGTTATGAAAGAAAGTGGATCCCTGTGCCAGGCTCCAGGCCAGGCCACAGGAT